GCCTCTCTCCGATGCATCGGTTTGGCGCGCTTTTTATCGCGCCACCGGCGAGGACGCCGGCGCCATCCATTTGCATTAGACGTGGGATCGACGCGACATTGTCAGAATTTAGTAGCGTCCTCCTACGTGCTTTAGCGAGGGGAGAAAACTGATTTCAGCTAAGCGGATGTTTTGTCTGGCGTGGTTCGAAAGCCTACAATGTTTTGTGGTCCAAATAGATACTGAAAAGCTGGTGTCAGGTATTTCATAAAGTATGATTGATCTTGACGGTGGCGCGCTGTTACGCAGGAATAAGATTCAGTGGTAGTAGGAGCAGGGGCAATGGCTATGAGCTAATGGGCGCTCGATGTATTACTATCCCAATCATAGATGTGGAAAACATTTAAAAGTTACATTGCACTGAATCGGTTGAGGTTGCGTTACTTTCCTGGTATTCAATAAAATCGTGTTCGTACTCTTTGTTTGGTAAACCATTGCTCACATAGTTTTTTTCAATTTTCACCAATGTTTTCAGCCACTCTCGCTTGCAACCAACGCCTTGTGTTGGTTAGGAATTTTTATCATTTTTGTCAATTTTCGCAGATCATAATGGTATTTTTGTGTTGAATAGTGTCATTTCACCACTATGCTACCGACAGAATCCAAAAATTTCACCCACGGAGAACATTACGGAGGGCGTCGGTCGTTTCCCTGCCCGGCGCCTCCCGCTACACCTCGCGTTGGGGGAGGGGGTACCGGGGGGAGGGTCGGGTCAGTCTGCGTGGCGCCGCCTCAGGTGCCGCCGCACGCAATCATTGTTTACCAGCGAACCGTGTTATTGGCCGCGTGCAAATCCGCCCGCGGCGCCGGGGGACCGCTGACGGCCCGTCCCGGCGTGTCTCCGGTCACAGCCGGCGGCCGCGGCCGCTCTCCCAGGGGGTTTAGCCGGCCGTCCTGATATACCGACACGGCGCCGGGCCGCGTACAAACAGCTCAGCTCTGTCACTGTCCGGCGGCATGATGCAGGCCCCGGCCGGCAGTTTCACACTCGATTGGACGGCGGAGAGGCTAGGGATTGGTCCGGTCCGGTCAGCGCAGAGGCCGGGATCGGGTCCGGTCCGGTCAGCGCAGAGGCCGGGATCGGGTCCGGCCCGGTCAGCGCAGAGGCCGGGATCGGGTCCAGTCCGGTCAGCGCAGAGGCCGGGATCGGGTCCGCCGCCCCGGTCAGTGGGGAGGTCCTTCGGCGGATGGTGCCGCGCCGCACCGCCCGCCGCTCCGATAGAGAAATGACTAGGGCCGCTCGGGGAATGCTGGTCAGATGGCTGGGTTCACTTATATTATTACATTTCGTGCGGTGATGGACATTGGGCAGTGGCCATAGATACTCAGTGGAATTCCCCAGTCGTAAGCATTTTTCTGAATATATTTAGAATAATTCGCCCTTACCATTGTTCGTATTTGTAATCAAACATCACAAGGCACTTCTAGGAACCATAGCTTTCAAATTCTCTGGTTTCATTTCACAGGCATCTTTGGTTTGTTTTCGACTGACTGTTAATATTTATGTGAATCTCCTGGTTCTGCGACACCTGAGCGAGCGTCATTTCAGCGAACTACATTTGAGCGAAGCCTTTTCAGCGATTATCAATTTAAGCGATTGACTTTTTCAGCGATTGTCAAGTCGGCGAATTCAATCACAGCGATTATCAACTTAAGCGAGGACCAGAATCAGCGAAACCAGATTGAGCGAATATATGGAGGCCAATGGGGGACCAATTGAGCGAACACGCGAAACCGAACGCGACGGAAGTCAATCATTTGCTACTTTTCGGGAATTCTTGCCCTTGGAATACCCGCTTGGTGTGTGTCATGCTTCAAGCTGCGCGCGGCAAATTAAAAATTTTCTTTTAAGCTTGGAAACCACAAAAATATCTGGCCTCATTCTGCAATTTTGATCTGGAAATGTGGAACGTGAGAGGACGATGGAAGGAATGCCAAGGACCAATAATAAACTCGAGAGATGGCACAGGGGGATCCAATTCCAGTCTATGTTTCATGGACCTCACCCAAATATCTGGAAATTCGTACGGTGCTTGGGGCAAGAACAAATTTTACAACATGGGGAACTGATCCAAATTCAAGCGGGAGAATTTCGCGAAAAACAGCACAAGCAATATGAATCTCTGAACAAACGTTTGGTCATCATTATTGGCAAACAGCAGGGGGGGGGGGTGAAATCGAACCGCTGTAATTTTTGAGAAATGTGGCATTAAATTTGGAGCTTAATGTCTGAACTTTGAACGTGACATCCGCCATCCAGTTCCGGATAACCATGAAAAGTTCCGGAAACATTCGTTGTACGAACGCTCGCAAAAGAAAAAAAAAGAAAAAATACACCGTTACGGGACGACGAAGTGTTTCGCTGAAATGACAGTCGCTCAAACCGTAGTCGACGAAAAAGATGTCGCTGAAACATAGCTTTCGCTTAAATTGATAATCGCTATATTTGATAATCGCTCAATTTGATATTCGCTAAGTTGCCAGTCGCTGAAAATGGTTCGCTCAAATGACGTTCGCTCAAATGACACTCGCTAAAGTCGCTCGCACCGGAATCTCCTCCAAAGGATTCGGTTTTTCGTTTGAAGCACCCAAATACTGAATTATTGTGATCGTACGCATAGAGATCTTATATACATGTATGTATATGTATACAAGATCTCTATGATCGTACGTTGAAACTTTTGTCTTCTCATTATGTCTCATTCGATGCCAACGATATGTCTTACTGTTGAGCCTTCTCGTGGCCTTTTGTGGAATATATCCCCAGTACCGTTGATAACCTTTATGCCTCCTCTAGTTCTACCTTTTAGGTATCTACTGTTTTACGAATGCGAACGTGGACGGTTTTCTTCCATCAGTATTGGAAGGGAAACGACAATTTTTGCGACTGAAATATTGTTAATGACTGCTTACTTTGCACACAAAGTATGCACAAAGTATTGCTTAGCCGTATTGTTTCAGTTCACGTATTTCCTGAGCGGTTTCAAGAACTCTGAGGCGAGCGAATCTACCGTTTCCGCTGTTTACTGTAAACGGCAATCGTGGGACTCATTATTCTAATTGGAGCGTCTCCCAGATCATCGTTCCCATTACTGCGTGCTCCTTATGTCACGATGCTCGGACGTAACGCTTTTATTAGGCGCCATAAAACGATGACTGAGATGAAACTTCTGATGCGGACTGCGCTGTGTGTGCAGTGTGTGGTCGGTTCTTCAAGTCAGGTGACGGTGTAGCGACTTTTTTAATTTTCTTTAATAGATAATTTGTAAATGATTTTCTGAAACTTTGCCGTTGGACGGTGGCCCGGCAAGGCCCTGGGGGGAGAGATTATGCCTCTGAGTGTGCGCCGCTGAGAGAGCGTGTGCTGTGTGAGAGCGAGCTTACAGTTCTATTGTACCGAATTTCACGTGTATGAAGTTGCATAGCTGCCGCTAGATGCCACTACAGGGTGTCTCAAAAGTTCGTTGACACATTTCCCATGCCAATAAAGCATATAAGAACCGGCCAAAAATCTAAGGTTTTGGTGTCTGTGTGTACACTAGACAAATATGCATGTTTTTACAACTGATTCAGAGGGTTGAAAACCAAACCCTCTGCTGTATCTCCAAAAATATTTGCCCACACCGATTTTTGTCGCTCCGTCGGCTGCCGGAGGCGGATAAAAGGTCACCAGGTTTCAAGCTCTTGTAGGGGAATCCCCTGCAGTTTCTGCGTCGGATTTAGGTTTGACGAGCTCCCCGGCAACACCCGCTTTTCCCTGAAAGCCGACAGCTTGCATCGACACCATCCGTGAGTATTTTGTAGGTTTTCTCTGGCGCTAACTCCTTCATGAATGACTGGCGCCGACCTCCCAAGCACCATTTTCCTTTTCAAAACAACCCCATTCCTGAACAAATGGGAAGTGCCAGGGGCAAATTTTTTGCAGCATATCATAGCAGAATGTGTCGGCCATCTGTTTCTTAGACACATTTTGCAAATTTTGCAAATCCCAAACGCTCGTCATTCCCCATGCCAAGACCTTCGCTGGGTTGCGGAGTGTTCTCCTCAGGAGAGGTTTCGCTTTGTAAACTTCCAAAACCTGTCCATCGTGCGGTTTTATCGGGATTTTGTGTCTAAAAGAAAGCTATTTGCTCCATATCCGCCTCTTGAAACTTCGTAAGATTAAACTTTACATTAATTGACACTTTTTGAGGGTCAGTTGTCCTGGGCATTGATGATTTTCGCGTTATTTTCCCCCAAAATTTAGCGTTATAGATATTATAAACAATTTTAAATGATACTTTGTCTTTATTTTACGATGACCTGCAATTTTTGAAACCGGGTAACCTCTGTCTGTGAGCTTCTTGTCAGTTTTCAATAGTTATGACTGCATTTTCAGCTGCTTTCCGGAGCACGAATCTGCTGCCGTACGAGAGCCGTTCAAAACGCTGTTAGTCTCGCATGGTTTCGTCCTTCAAAAAATTTAGCTACCGTTTTTATTAGATGATCATCATGTTGTACTCATCCTCGCCAACACTTTGCCATGTGTCATTTCCGACTTAACCATTCCCATTACTCCTGAAACAGAGAGTTTCTCAGCCGACCCGATTTTGCGACCTCCATTTTCATGCCTGACCCATGGTCAGAGGTGAACCCTTTTTGTGAGCTCATGAAGGGTCGAATGCGCTTAAAAACAATGAGACTGCTTGAGGAAGGTTGGTACCAATGCCCATGCAAAATTTCGACTGTTAATTTCTTGTAGATTCAGAATTATTGACAAAAAAGCATGGCTGGTACCTGTGAACGAACTTTTGAGACACCCTGTACAGTACGCGCCTGAAATTATGCTGTACCGCAGATCTCCAAGGCTATGTTGTAACACTGCCGCAAGATGTCACTATACTTTGCGCCTTAAGGTATACTGTACCGCAAGCAATAACGGCGTAAATTTACGAAGGTGACTACATGTAAAAAAAAACTCGTAGTAAATGAATGATGTAGATGTGAAGAAAAACAAGCCACCATCCAAAGTTTGTTGGCACACTCGTCGTCAGTAACACATCTCCATGAATTAAACCACTGATGATCGGTGGGTGAGGGAACGCTATCACCATTCACAAATAAATATATTACAGCGCAGCGTTCACCATTCACAAAAGCGACACACACTCACTCGAGCTCCCATACTCGCAATCACTAAAAGTTGCAATAAATCATCACGTATCCAGTTGTCTGTATCCGAGCAATCGTTTAGCCCGGATTTTAGCAACAAGAATGTCAGATTGCTGCAAGACAACAAAGTCGATTCTTCCAACACCCAATCAGTGGCTCTGACAATTGTGCTAATTTCCACTCACAAGTCGCACGCAGTCTGACTTTTGTCGCCAGCTCTTTTCATTTGACAATTTTATATTCACGCACGCAGATACCTTTCCACATGCCGCGGGCGGGACAGACTCCCACACCGGAGACAGCTTTCTCCACCGCGTGTCCAACAAAGACCCCGCCTCAGTCTCGGTCTCTGCCACCGACAGTCGGCTCAGTCTCAGTTGCTGAACCGGGAGCCCCCACGGCGCACAGCCGAGTCAGTCGCTGGGCCACCGCCGGCTCGGCTGCTGAGCCACATACGGCTCAGTCGCTGAGCCATATGCGGCTCACTCACTGAGCCACAGGCGGCTCATTCGCTGAGCCACAGCCGGCTCACTCGCTGAGCCACAGCCGGCTCAGTCGCTGAGACCCTGCGGCGACGGTGACATGCTGAACTCTGGCCTCACGTCCTCGCCCAGCGCCGGCAGGAGGCCGACGCGCGGCTGCAGGTTTCCCTGCAGATTCAGTGAGTCGTACGCCGCCATCGCCGGCGTCGGCACGTGAATGCCCGTCAGGTGGCTGAGGTAGGCGATAATCCTGCGTAGCTCCTCGATGGCGTTCCCCTGCATCATGATGTAGTTTTTGCCCAGCAGCAGGGTGGCGATCTTGCTCAGTTTGCGCACGGAGGGCGAGTGCGCGTACGGGATGACGGAGCGCAGCTCGTCCAGCGCGTCGTTGAGGTCGTGCATGCGGCGCCGCTCGCGGGCGTTCACGTTCAGTCGCATCACCTTGCCGACGCGGGCCTTCTTGCCGGATGCTTTGAGCCGGAAGCCGGGCAGAGCGCGGTTCTCATCTGCCTCGCGCAGTGCCGGCTCGCGAGTCGGGGCTCCATTCCCACTGTCGTGGTTGTCTGGGACGTCTCTGGTGGCCCGCTCGCCCGGCTCGACGCGGGCTCTCGACTCGGCTCGCTCGTCGCGCCGCTCTGCCAGCTCGTCGAGGTGCCGCTCGAGCCGGTACCCCTTGGAGCGGGCCGCTGAGGAGAACTGCTCCAGATGTGTCTCGGGCTGTGGTGTGAGCTGTTCGGCGGGTAGTGCCGGCACCCGGGCCTCGCTCGGCTCCGGACAGACCCCTCCCGCGGGTCCGCTGGGGCAGAGGCCGCCGCTGCGGGCCGGAGATGGCCGGATCAGGTCGGCGATACTGAGTACCGAGCCCGAGCTGGGGTACGGCTCCATCCTGAGGGAGAACATTTGCGTCAGCTTCAGTATCAAACGGGATTGGTGGTTACCGAACTCCTTTTTATACCGAAAGCAGACACGGCGTCAGTCAGGATGATTTGAAGGGATGACAGCATGAGGAACGTCGCTGGTATTTCATTAAGCTAGAAGGTTAACGTTGAGTGTAACTCACAGCTGCGGCGCTTTTGACACATGGAGTTATCTCCGATGAAGAGAGAATGGAAATACATTATAATATTTGATTTGGCGGAAAATCCCTCCAACTTCCTGCTAGCGTCTCAACTTTGTTCAAGGCATAGTTCTGTCTTTGATGTTCTTCCACAGCTAACTCTATACAACCTCCCTCATTCGGAAATATTTAAAGACGTTAGCCTCTGACGGAAGTATTAATTTCATTCGTCTCATTTACACACCACAGGAACTTCGCCGGCCGAGAACAAAAGCCGCAGCACCATCGCACGCCGGCCGCCTGGCTTTCTGTTTCAATTCGCCAAAACGAAAATCATGTTTAGCAGGCCTGGAAAGTACTGCATTATTCATGGCGATCCATCTCGTTTGTGTGCGGTGGCTTCCGTTTCATTTGGCCGACAGTGTCGACAGCTATGATGAATTGCACCGACCGGTCCTCTACATAATCAGAGCGCCGAGCGACCCGCGCGCCGGCCCCGGCTCCGAGTCACCGAGCGCAGAATATACACACACGAATAACCGCATACCATCCTATGGTGTTCAGTTGAGCGGAATGGCTGCGACCGCGGCGGTGACTTTATCAACTTTTAGGTCGAAATGGTTCCTGTTAGTTAATGGCCAAGGCATGTCATTGCAGCCACACATTGCTTAGAAAACTTGAGCTTCTTTGGACATCGACACTGTATTTTGTCGAATACCGTCTCTGCGTCTTTACATTATCCGCGTCTTTCCCGCGATAGTTAGTTCATGCAAGCTTCTGAGCTTGTTGTCTTCAAGTTTCGCCGTTAACCGCCTATCATTCACGGGCGGCTCTTATACTAATTTCCGTAATGACAACAGGCATTGTGCGGTATCACCTCATTCTGCCCCCGCCTCTGGTCATGTAATGTGTTGTGGTCAGATGCTCTATTATGCGGTCATGTCAGGCCTCTCGAATGGTCAATCAGCTAATGCGCGGCTCTTCAAGAGCTACATGCATTAGTCCTGACGCATTAGGAAGGAACGATTTGTGTTTTGCTGATTGTCAATGGGAATAAGCAAAACACAAATCGCATTTTTAGTGGGAACTTTTAGTGAGACAATAAGAACAAAGCATTAAATATATTTTAATCGAATTTGGCTTCAAAATATTTTTAATTCTCTTTGCGTTAGGTACTAATTATAAGGTTGTTATAGGTTGTCTTTCCCCCAAGCATCTGAATGTCGGTTAACCATTATCATTGTCGCAGTCTCATTAAACCTAAGCTGATTTGCCTAAGCTTATTTCCTGAGCTCCTCTGCCAGCTTTAGTTACACCAAGCTGGAAAATTATGCTTATTTAGTTGAGACGCGTCTAGACTTGTCCTTTGACACAAGTGCAGTAGTTTTGCTGCGGTAGCTTTCCGTCCCTCTCTCCTCCCACGTCTCCGCTGTGCGGCCTCGTTTCCACGGCTGGGTGGCCGCGGTGTCGTCCGCAGAGTGATCTGCATCGGCCGCAGACCCCAGGGCCGTGATAGCAACAGTGGCCCGGCGGCGGCGGCGGCGGGATTCCTGACAGATCACCTGTTAGCCGGCTGACCGATGGTCCCGCCGCCGAGCGCTGGTCTGCGCGGGCCACTGCCTCCGGCTCCCACGCGACTGGTGCCTCTTGCTCACAGTCTTTATATCTTTCTGTAGTTCTGTGTCTTTCTTTCTTACCTTTTCTCTGTCCTTTTCTTATTCTGACTTTTTTCTTTTTATTTTCACTTTTATTTTCCCTCTAGTTAAAAGCTCATTGGGTTTCGAAGTAGTCAGATTATCTTGTACCTACCTGTGCTTTTCAAGCCAATCTCTTTTCTCTTCTTAGGCTGTGGTGCCGCTATTTGATCACCATCTGATACATCATAGTCCGGCTGTCTCCAGTCCATTTAGGTTTCGCATATGGAAATATGATTTAAATGTTCCAGCTTGATAATAACCTTTGTTGTTATATTTTGAGCTGTCAAAATATGACAATTGCCGGTCCTGTAGCTCAGTTGGTGGAGCGCTGGACTCTGGGCGGTGAGAGCACGCGTTCCCGGTTACAACAGTTCGGGGTTCGAGGCGCGACGGGCGCTCGATGTTCATGAGCCTTCTGGCGGGTATGGTTGCGGTTGATGGTAGGCCGTAGCCAGGTGAAGTCAGTGAGGGGACCGGCCGTACGCGGCTATGTGCGTACGTTAAACTTCGGACTTATAATTCTGCCATGAACAGGAATATCGCGATCGGAGGATAGAGGGCAGGGCCAACGCAAGAAGCTTTGCTTAGCCCGGGCTCTGTCCTTGCGAATCCATCCATTCAAAAGGTTCGGACTATTTTTTTTAATCACACAAGTGTCTCATGTCTATTTTGTCCCAGCTATATCCCGTGCTCTAGAAACGACTTCCCTCTCTATCCCACTCAGCTCCTTGTCGTTCCTAATTTCCACCCCCTCTCATAACGAGTTCCCCGCACGGTCCCACACCTCGGCTCGTTCCGGCCGAGTACCGCCGCACCGGTCTCCCAAGGGCCCAGGCCCGAGTGTTCGGGTCCGCTCTGGCCGGCGCCCTGCCCTGACGAAAAGTGTTTCATACGCACAGCGTACTCCGGACTGGGCCGGACCTCATGTCCGTAGTTCAGCACGCATCTTGGTTCCCTGTTAGTATGGGATAAGTGTTGCTTACAAATAAAGCTATCCAGTTTTTAACCGCATTGGATTGGCGCGCTGAGTTGCTCTTAAAACACATTAAAGGTGTTGTCAAGCTCAGCTAATTTTGACTCCAGTTATTTAGGCATGTCGACCATCTTTATCGTGTCGACTGTCAATGAGATTTGTAAATAATGTGTAGGAGTGAAGCTAGGCAACGCAAGATGTGTATATGTTTGTAAATCGTAACTCAATAGCTGATCAATGGGTAAATACGCTAAGAAGCTTCAAAACTTTAACATTCTTTGCTTTTTGTATCGACAATACCCTCTCTTGTAATTATTTTACTCTGCTCCTCCTGCTACTTGCTTTTCACTATTTCCTAATCGTTCACTTTATTCTGCTCCCCACCAGAGCAGCCTTCCGTTCTCCACTCCATACCGCGGTGTCCACTCTTGCTTTCCTTCCTCCCCTCCTTTCCACTCTCTCCTCTCCGTCTCTCCTCTCCGGGCCATCACCCCGCGTCGGTCCAATTACCGTTCGCAGATCCCGGCGGTCCGATTAGCCGAGTCAATCCCCGCATCATGCGGCCGAAGGGGTGGCGCCGACTTAATGAGGTTATGATGAAAGAGCTCCAACCAAAGAACAGCCCTCGGGGGAGCGCGGCCGTGCTGCACCGACCGCCGAGCGGCCGAGCGGGCGGCGAGCGACCCCGCCGTACGCACATCTCCGATATAGACCCAATTACCGCGGCCGAGTGTTTTGCGATGCGATAGGAGATAGCTGTGAACAGTAAAAATGTGATGCTGTTGATCCAATTATGAAATATCGTTGAACTGGCGAGTTGGGGGTTTTGATTCTTTGTTCGGCAGAGTCAGACGCACGTGTTAAAGAATGGGAGAGATAAATGGTCTGTTGTTGATTTTCTGATTGTCCACATCAATATTGTGTTGAATTGGTTTAATCTTTCCAGAGTATTTGAAATGCAAACAGAAATTATTCGCCAATTTGCTTACAATAACATCGGACATAGGCATTAAAATGTGTGGAGCTAAGAGTTTAGAGGACGGATGGACTTCAAACTAATAAAGTAAGAAGTAACACATATTTAGAAATCCCGTATTCATTCATGACCTATCTCATCAAATATCATCCTTTTACCTTAAGAACATATTTGGAATCTTAGATCACCGAGATTTGTCCTTTTATCCGGTCAGGGATATGTAGGTCACTTTTGTCACTCTGTCTTTCGATCAGAGTTCATTACCTATGCTTATTTTGAATGAAGCAGAAAAGAACAGTTGCGATACCCTTATATTGTTAAAGGTAGTGTGCCAGCTTTCCTGGACCGTATGGAGTTAATGGCCCAGATAAGGAGAACCGGATTTTTAGAACTTATCCATACCTTCAAAACTCATGGAAGCGTCTTAAATTCTTCAAATTTTGAGTACCCCAGTGCGAAATTCGCCCCGACGGGTTGTCGGTCGTACCCCAACCACATTTCACACCACTATGAACAATAAATGCACACACTGAAATCGCTATTACCGATATGCTCATCCAATCAAGTTTCGATAAACCCGTTCATCATCATCTCCTGCGGTTTCGAACACGCTTGTTAGGTGGTGCGGTAGACCGCGCCCAAAGCCAGGGCCCCGGTAACGTGAGGTAGCCGAGTCGGGGCAGCGTGCGCTGACCCAAGCCGGGGCCGCGCGTCCTCCCGGTGTCATGTGATAGCCCGGGGCTGCCCGCGGGGATGCGGTAGACCGCGCCCAAAGCTGCGGCCCCGGCTTGGGTCAGCGCACGCTGCCCCGACTCGGCTACCTCACGTTACCGGGGCCCTGGCTTTGGGCGCGGCTTCTGCTCATACTTTGTGGTGCGGTGGTGGTGCGTCGGGCCGCGCGCTCTGACTTCGGCCAAGAAAAATGCGTCAGCTGATCATTGTCATTTCTGCCACTTGCGTGTGGTGAAATGGGGTCATAACTTAAGAGACGGCTTTTTCATATCAATTATTTTACATAAAATCATATTTCAAACCATAAATAATGTTCGACAGCCAAATAAAAGAAACAATACCAATACAGGCTTACAGTTTAAGGCTCGACATTGTGTTGTCTACGATTAGACAGCTGATAACTCATTCCCGTACGTCGTAACTCTATAATGACCTTTGCTTATTGTCACATGTGCGCCGCATTCGCGATTGTTGCCGACGCCTGTTTGCAGGTCAGCCCACTACAGTTGTTATACATGTCGAAAAACCGATAAACTTTTAGGCGAAAAGGGCACTATTCCAGGCCCATTTTTGATTTTCTTTGCGATATTTGGTAAAAACAGAAGCTTCTTATCCTAGGAAAAATAAAAGGGGAAATCTTTCAAAGGTGGCACACTACCTTTAAGCTAGCATGGAGCTTAAAGGAAATAGTTCACTTTCACGAAATTATTTTTTTTGCAATGGATTTATGATTTTTATGTTCAAAATGATCAGCAAAGAAAATAAAACCTCTTTATAACAAAAGATTATTTTCTATATTTTGATATAGGAAGAACTTTTCAGTTTCTGTAAGGCACACGCGATCCAGTATGAAAAGAGCATGGGTCCCGAAAATTCTTCAGAAACTAGAGAACTTATCGCGGCCACCGGCATTTGGGCGATCTGCTCGTGCTTTTGTTACTGGAGCGCCTCTTTCCCCGAGATTGCGCCGGCCGCCTGCCATGGACGAAAAATACACGACTTTGAAATCCGGCTGATCGTGGGAAAATACCGCCGCAGGTCTCGGCTATATGCAGGAATTCACCGGGATGTATAGTATATACCACTGCCTCGATGTATAGGCTATAGCCTGCAAGCTGGCTTTGGTGCAAACTGCAAACATGTCAAACATGGTATAGGGCGGATTGTCGATTGATGTAAGCGAATCAGACGTTCAATTGACAATTTCCGATTCTTATTCGATAATTACGGCCAATTATATTTTATTTTAGGAAGTGTTATTAGGAGCGGAGCAATAAAATCTCATTTCTCCCCTGTCTCTTTACTAGAGATGTCAATCGGATACCAACATTTTGGTATACCGATACCAAACCAATACCAACTTGGTATTTGGTATTTCAATCCTCCTATATTTGGTATTTTGTTGGTATTATGAACCCTCACTAATATATAAGAGGCTGATAAATTGGTATAAATTTGGTATTTGCCTCATGTTCCTAGGTTGGTTCGGTTTCGGTATTTCCTCACGGTTTTGGTTGGTATTTGGTTTGGTATCGGTATTCCAATTTTCTGTAATTGACATCACTACTCTTTACCTATCTCTCAAATCCCTTGCTCACTCATCTTTCCTCTCCATAGGCGGCGGAACGGGGAGGGCACCGGGGCACCGTCCCCCCTTTGATTTTGGCATTTTAACATTAGCCCTATGGGCGTTGCATGGAAAGAATGGGACCAAAAGTTGGCAGTGCCCCCCCCCCCCTTAATTGAAGGTGTTCCACCGCTACTGTTCCTCTCTGTAGGTATCAGTCTCCTTGCCGTCCTCCCTGAAGTCTCTGTTAGTCTTTTCCTTCATACTTATCCTCCTTTCTCTCACCACCCTCTCTCTCTCTCTCTCTCTCTCTCTCTCTCTCTCTCTCTCTCTCTCTCTCTCAGTCTCTTCTCTCTCAGTCTCTTTTTCTCTCTCAGTCTCTTTTTCTCTCTCAGTCTCTTTTTCTCTCTCAGTCTCTTTTTCTCTCTCAGTCTCTTTTTCTCTCTCAGTCTCTTTTTCTCTCTCAGTCTCTTTTTCTCTCTCAGTCTCTTTTTCTCTCTCAGTCTCTTTTTCTCTCTCAGTCTCTCTCTCTCTCTCAGTCTCTCTCTCTCTCTCAGTCTCTCTCTCTCTCTCCTCTCTCTCTCTCTCTCTCTCTCTCTCTCTCTCTCTCTCTCTCTCTCTCTACCCGTCCGTCTGTCCATCTCTTTGTCTGTCTCTCCGTTCGTCCGTCCGCCCTTCCGTCTCTCAGTCCGTCCATCCATCCGTCCGTTTCTCCATTCTCCGTCCGTCCGTCCATCCGTCTCTCCGTATGTTCGTCCGTCCGTCTATCTGTCTCCCCAGACCCCATCCGCCCGCCCGCCCGCCCAAGGCCCTAAAACAAACGAGTCCTCAAATTAATAAGTTAGGGGCATATGCCCCCCGGACAGGAGCCTGAGGGGCATTCAGTACAAGTATGCCCCCCCATTCAGACTTACACTTCTTACGCCTATAACGAGGAACTAAATAAAAATTGATTAGAAAGCCTTCCTAGTAACTAGGTAGGTTCTTTTGTGATCAGAGTCGTTTTAGTAACCTCAATTTAGTTGTCATTGCGTTACTGTGCACTTTAAAGCAAACTTTTCGTAATAAAAATTAAGTTTTCGTCTTATTCCTGAAACGAAAACGTAAATTTCCGGCGATTTCTGGCGCTGCCGGGTTATTTGTCCCAAAAGCCCCCTCCTCCTGGATCTGCCAGTGGGGTATTGGCCCTGTTTCACCAGTGATAGCAGCACGCTGCATAGCTACGTTTGGAACAGAGTTGCTGTCTCGTTGAATGCGTTTGATACATTTGTTTGATCGCACGGCCGTGAAGATGTTAGCATCAATATTTCATGACATCACACAGTTTGACGACGCCATGGTTTGTTGATGTTTCCATGGAAACCCAATTTGACACGTGTAATAGCAGCGTGTTGCTATCACCGGTGAAACAGGGCCCAGGTGGCCTACCATTTGTTTTTTTTTAGAAAAAAAAACTATCGTATCAGGGCCTGGGCTATGACGAAAAATAAGTGGCCTAAATCCGATGAGAAGACAGGATTTGGGGGTACCCTAGGAGTAGGTTTGGCTCCGTGACCTGGTACGCCCCCCCCCCCGCGCTGAAACCCTGGATCCGCCAGTGCGTGAAATAATGCATTAAAGATTAAAGAACCATGCAAAGTTAGCCCTTTTACTAGTTTTACTGGCAAGGGCGATAATGTTCCCCTGAATGTCCTTATTGATCAGTACGAGAATTTCTCTAGAGTTCTCGTAGATAATTTCTCTAGTTTCTGAAGAATTTTCGGGACCCATGCTCTTTTCATACTGAATGCAAAAATATGCAAGGCACACATCCTCAACGCAGGACACCTTTTTCGGGACGAGAAATAGAATATCTTTGCCTAGGGTGATCCTTGGGCTGTAAAAGCTCCTGATTTATGCTCGTCTCAGCCCAAGCTACGGAACTGCTATTCCAGTTCAAAACCCAAGTTAAAAAGTGAACTATTTCCTTTAACACATTCATGATAACACGAAACCGTTTTCATGATAACACGAACAAGATCAGGTCATGAACTCCCCTGCAAGTTTCGCGGTCGTAATTTCGAGAAACTAACGGATCACAAAACTTGCCCGGTGGTTTCATCCTGAAATCGCAAAGGAGTCCGTTGTCCGTCCATCCATCCGTCCACAATCTTGTTTCCCAATTAGCCATGTGCATCGTGCCTCTATTTATCCGTCTTTTGCACTCATTGCAAAGATTTCTCTCAGTTTTTTTTTTTAGTATCCTTTTCAATCGTCATGAAATGGTGTGTGCCGCTCAACAGCCGTTCGCTGCCTTGCGGGCTAGTCTACCGGCGCAGGCGGCCGCTGCGCCGGGCGGCACGCTGCACCGCAATACACCAGAGACAGCGATGCGTCACTAGAGGCTAGCGTCTTGTCTGCTGTTCAATAAGCATTGCATTTCAAGGAGTGGAGGAGGAGCTTACAAAATTTAAGCCAATGAACTGCCTGATTTTAACCGATCCCGAGTAATTCCCGAGCCTGGTGTTGTTCGAGTATCCAAGAGATTCGCGTTTACTAAGCCAGTTAGAGATGAGTTCAAGCATCAGCGCCATCATTTTTTTCGGCTTCAGGTCGACGTAGTTTGTTGTATTTTTGCCTTTAATGACCACGTGCAACATCTCCAAAAACATTCCGAAAACAGCTCTTTTTTTGCGCTGCAACCGCAACTGACAAGCCCGTTGCATTGGCGACCGTACATCTAAACGAGGAGAACATTCCCCGCCTCGTTAGATCCATTTTTTGTCCCATTACATACATAACGCGGTGTATGATGGTCCATGGGAAGAAAATGTTGGTGGTCGCTCCCTTTCCACCCTTAGAAAAGGACGGAAAGCGAGGAGATGTCGTCGTCGAAGTCAGACAGCATTGTCAGGATATCATATTCACTGGACAAGTGCTACAGCGGCAGTAATTGCACACACTGCTATTACAGACACAGCTGCACTTGATATCGGGTTTCAAATACTTAACAGTATGTTAGTTAATTGACTAAGTTAATTGACGGATCTCATCCATCATTGTCAACGCCATCAACCCATCCCCCGCCCCAGCACCTCACCTCATAGAAGCTTTGCCTGGTGCGCCGGCTGTGACGTATTCCGGCTCAGGTGCCACTGCGGCAGCGGGTGCCCGCCCTCCAATACTGCTCTCTTTCCGTCAGACCGAGCAGCGCGGACACCTCCAATGTCCTCTGCCCAACAGCGGGCCAGTCGGCGTCAGCCGTACCGCCCGGGGCGGGGCCTGCTCCCGGGGTCGGCCCCCACAACCAATCAGCGCCGGCGGAGGACCATCTGGGCGGGGCCGGAAGCGGGGGAGGCCGTCCGCAGCCGGGGAGAAGGCCGGCCCGGTCCGCGGCGATAAAGGCGGCGGCGGTGCGAGCTCGGCTCTGGCCTGATGGATGGACCGCGATGACTTAGGGGACGGAGACTCTCATCTTTTCACTCCTCAGTCGATTTAGATAACAGGGTTGGGACGGTCCGAGGGCCAATTCATTTGAGATGAACGTCGCGGCCCGCCGGGGTTTGTGCTCTGTGTCGGCGCCTGACGCGCCCCGAACGGGGGTGTCACAAAATCAGTTTGGCCGCCGCGGAGAAACTGTTGAGAACACCCGTGTGAAGTTATGGCTGGACAGAGAATAGATGGCTGGAGAAAAGCGAGTTTCACAGATGTCATTGATAACGATGAAGAGATGCCGTTGCATGGGCGACCGACCGACTTACGTGAATCACTTAGAAAACAGAATACAATGGAAGGTTCCTATATCTGTTTTGTATGTACTTGGTTTTGTAGTACATACCGGCAGCGCATCCCGCCCCGTCCAGAACCGCCCTCATTATGTTGGCTCCGGGAGCCCAGAAACCGCTTATGTCCTGTGTCCTACATCCAGACCATTGACTATCTAATAATATGATGTATATGGATATATTTAAAAAGAAGCTCGGTTATCTATGATATTAAAACGTTCCAAAACTTCCACCGTTGATAAGACTGATTCATTGAAAACCTGCTGTGGGCGATGATATTTACCCCTTTATAGCCATTACTACAACAGTCTCCATATACAAAATGTGTCAATGAAAAACATGGCCTTTGACCCCAGACCTTTTGCTTTGACCTGAGGTCAAAACTTTCTTCTCTAGGGCTTCAACTTGGTATCCGGTACCGCATTTGTAGCTTCTTTATTTCAACAAAATGCCAAGGAGGCGGAGGCGAAATACGTGATCTATACAGTGCACTGTAGTAAAAACTAAAAATCACAATACTTGTTCTCAACTTGTCAGCCGAGCCTCACGGCGCGGCAAAAGACTGGAGGTACCGGGGTTTGAACCCGGGGCTTCTCACATGCAAAGCGAGCGCTCTACCACTGAGCTACACCCCCGCGAATGATGATGTGGACCCCCCTTGTGACGCGAGGCCAAAACATAATATGCATTGCCTAAACGTGCTCGTATAGTGGGAAGCATAAACAATGCTTGCTTTATCTATTACTTGCTTTACATCAGTGTGTTTCCAATGTGTCAATGTAGCTTAGTTGTGCGTCGGCGAGTGGGCCTGAATTAGTACCTACTGTTTCGTTAGCGACAGGGACACGTGTAGGGACGGAAGAAGGGCGACGTGGCTCATGGGCGGAAGTCGCCTGCTGACCATGTGTGGACGGGGTGAGAGGCGGCAGTGAGGCAGAGAGGGGGCAGGCGAGAGGACGGGTCCGTGTGTGGTGTTGGTGCCGTTGGAATGGAAATAGAAGACTAGACCGACTCGCACTTTTGTCGGAAACACCACAATCAGTTCATGTACCTAACTTATAGTGACGTGGAAGTCCTGGTGCTGTGGAACTTTCATCATGACCACAAAGTCAACTCACTCGCTTACCGCTCCTCCCTTTAAAGTAAGTACCTGCAGTCGAACACGCGAAAAATATCCAATGATTTGAAAACTGCTGTAGGTAACTACGTCTTGCTTACCTTTAGGTATACGTTTTACGGATATGTAGTTGGTTTGAAAATCGGCCACTGTACCCTAACTGCACTGCTTCTTGAGGAGCCATAGCTACTACCTACCCAACTGTTGACCTGTGACCAGCTCCTTTGTCCTTACCGAATGTGACCTGAGCTAAACCTGAGGTCGGCAGCCCAGCTGACCTTTCCCAGACAATTGTTTTTCTTGTCATTCGGAGCGACTGGACATGTAAAGCTTGATGTTGCTATTACACTTGATGTTGCGTACTCTTCAACCATTTTTTTTTGCGTAGCTGTTCGCCGAAAGTAAACAAACTTTGGTTTCTCACACAACAATCACAATCAAACAACATTTCTCAACAACAGCGTCTAGACGAGACGAGTGAAGTTTTCTCCACACGTCTGTGCTGGCCGTGACCGTCTATAACTTGACCTTCTACGCTGATTGCGGTAAAGCCGAAACGAGAAAAGATGGATCTGTATTTTTCATATGACATTTCTACGCATCGTACACACTATAAATAAACAATATCAAAACAAATCCACTGAGATAAAGGTATCAAATCACTGGCTGAACAATATTGCGATGGCGGGGGGACAGTGTCACCGGAGACTCAGCCGCTGTAGCCGCCACTGCTGCTTGGCGAGCCGTAGCTGGAGGAAGGCTTTGCCGGAGGATATTTGCCCGTTCCGCTGGACGCAGGGACAGAGCCATAGCTGGAAGATGCGCCTCCACCGCTGCTTCCTCCACCGCTGTAGGCACCGCCGCCGCCTCCCCCGCCGCTGCTGTAGCCACCGCCGCCACCTCCTCCTCCGCTGCTGTAGCCACCGCCGCCGCTGCTTCCTCCGCCACTGTAGCTACCACCGCTGCTTCCACCGCTGCTGTAGCCACCACTGCTGCTTCCTCCGCCACCGCTGTAGCCGCCGCCGCCGCTTCCACCGCTGCTTCCTCCGCCACCACTGTAGCCACCACCGCTGCTTCCCCCACCGCTGTAGCCGCCACCGCTGCTTCCGCCGCCACCGCTGCTTCCACCGCCACCGCTGCTGTAGCCACCACCGCTGCTTCCTCCACCGCTGTATCCACCGCCGCTGCTTCCTCCACCGCTGTAGCCACCGCCGCTGCTTCCACCGCTGCTGTAGCCGCCACCGCTGCTTCCTCCACCACTGTAGCCACCACCGCTGCTTCCTCCACCACTGTAGCCGCCGCCGCTGCTTCCACCGCTGCTGTAGCCGCCACCTCCTCCGCCACTGCTTCCTCCACTACTGTAGCCACCGCCGCTGCTTCCACCGCTGCTGTAGCCGCTACCGCTGCTGTAGCCGCTACCGCTGCTGTAGCCGCCACCGCTGCTTCCTCCACCGCTGTAGCCACCGCCGCTGCTTCCACCGCTGCTGTAGCCGCCACCGCTGCTTCCTCCACTGCTGTAGCCACCGCCGCTGCTTCCACCGCTGCTGTAGCCACCACCGCTGCTTCCTCCACCACTGTAGCCACCACCGCTGCTTCCTCCACCACTGTAGCCGCCGCCGCTGCTTCCACCGCTGCTGTAGCCGCCACCTCCTCCGCCGCTGCTTCCTCCACTACTGTAGCCACCGCCGCTGCTTCCACCGCTGCTGTAGCCGCCACCGCTGCTTCCTCCACCGCTGTAGCCACCGCCGCTGCTTCCACCGCTGCTGTAGCCGCCACCGCTGCTTCCTCCACCGCTGTAGCCACCGCCGCTGCTTCCACCGCCACCGCTGCTGTAGCCACCGCCGCTGCTTCCTCCGCCACCGCTGTAGCCGCCGCCGCTGCTTCCTCCGCCGCCGCTGTAGCCACCTCCTCCGCCGCCGCTGTATCCTCCTCCTCCGCCTCCACCACCACCGAACCCTCCTCCCCCTCCGTGTCCTCCGCCTCCTCCTCCTCCTCCTCCGTCAGCCAGGCAGAGCCCGGCGAACATCACTAGGAATATCACCTGAGAACAATAGGTAAATGAGATAAGGAAAGCGTTTCCATTAGCGAATATTTGGTGGACTGTGTTTTTAAGGCTGCCTACGTATTTGAATGATAATATGTAATTGTGGCGTCTTGATTATCGTTTGATGTGGTTTGGAACTAACCATTATGTGGCGTTAAAACTTAAAACTTATTTTTTAAATGTATCCAACGGCAGGTATTGACTTTGTCCTAGTCCGAAGGCTACGAATTGAAAAGCTTTGCGTGAAGCGCAACAAGCACCGTTTGGCGTGCACTCGGGCCCAAAGCCACCCACTCATCTATTCGGACAAGTTTTTTTTGTAATTGTCTTAAGGTATGCTTAAAGCCACGGATTACTTTATGTTATCTCTGAGTGGTGCGTGGAGGATATTTGAAGAGGCTGTTCTTGGTGAAAATGCAAGATCTATTGTGCGAAAATGTGATAATTGAAAACAATACATGCATGTAAAGACATTTTTAATCTGCTACAGCAACTTTTAAAGCTGAAGTGGGATCAAAATTGTTGAAAGTCTGAGTGATTGCGGTGTTTGTACCCAACCTCCACGATACACGTTTGTGCTCGCTATCTTACCCTGATGGGCGTCATGTTGTGGCCGTCGTGTGGCTCCGGTGGGGGCCGCTGGCTGCTGTGTGCCGCTGTCCGGAGAGCCGGCGGTTTTATAGGTAGGTGCGGCGCTGAGAGAGAGGGCTGACCTGCCGTGTCGCCGGCCGTGACTGGCACACGGCACGGCGGCACCTCTGACGCCCGGCCGCCTCTGCCGGCGCGGCCGGTGACGTAACGACACGAGCTGCGACAGCCGTCCGTCCCCGACAGACGCTCCGTCTGGGGTGAACGCCCCTCGAGGAGCGCCCGGCAGAGCGCAGCCGTGGGTCGTCTCCGACAGACCCTCTCAGACCTTGACACTGGCGGATGATAAACAATGGCGCGCCTTTCACCGTCGCGGGCGCTGGAAAACCCTGTCAGCTCAGACAGTTTATTGTGCGAGCCACGCACCCTTTCGGCTGTCGTTGCCGCCACTCCATCTCACTCGGCTCTTTGTCGCCAATTGTGACACAGTCTCGGCTTGTTACTGACTGAGTGGATTGTGCTCGATGGTACGGTTCTCGCGAGATTAAGCGGAAGGTTTTGCTCTTTTACATTTCCGGTTATATCTCAGAAACTAATCGATCTACGATGTAGCCATTTTACACGATCATGGCCGGCTTGTGAACCAACAAGTCGATCGCATCTTCAACACTTAAAAGCTTAAGACGACGAAGATATAGCCTGAAGTACACTAAGTTTTCTAGGTGCAAAACCTACCGCTAAAACCCGCGAGACCTGTACATATCGTCAATTTCCTCACGGGGGACTGGTTTGATCGGCTGGTGTTTGATCGGGTAAGTTTTGCTTGCTATTCCTCATGCAGTTTCCTCATACAGCTGCATAGTAAGCAGTGTAAGATACAACTGTCGATTATGCAAAGCATCCAGAGTAGCTATTCAAAGCCACTTACTAAGGCCCGCTTAGCGGCGATGGTTGAATTTGTGACGGACAGCGGCTAACGGTACGTCGGCTAACGCTCGTATGTAACGGCGGAAGCATTGTTGACAACATTGATCGGAGTGTGCAAAATTTAGCATTGATATTGCACATGTTACCCGCCGGACAACGTCAACCTGCTATTAATAAAAAGTGAATTTTTTATCGATTAATAGTTCGGGATAGAAAGATGCTTACAGTTTATATAAGAGATGTGTGTTAATGGTACCTATTTATTTATTATCGCAATTGAGTCTTATTTGAGTTTTTTTGTATAACTATTGCTGCCAAAACTCTTCATTTTTGTCGAAATCCTCAGCTCAAAGCTGCATAGCAGCAAACGGTCTTTTATGTCTTCTCCGACGAGCTAATATTGGTGCAGTTCTGCCTGAGCTTGCGTCATTATGTCTATGCAAGCGTTCTATGAATTCGAGACATGAATCATTGCTGTGCATCGGGAACAGATGTGGTACGAAGCATTGCGGGCACCGCTCCATTCAGCAGCTAATGAGGCCTTTGGCGTCAATGCCGCTCAAGCACCACATTTCGTGATATGAACCAACTGTTGCGGCATGTCCAAATTGAAGGCATTGGCACGGGCATTCATCCGTAACACAATAGTGGCTCACTTTCCCTCCCTTTTTTTCTGACACTATGAGTTGCTTGTTTCTTTTTCTCCGTTAGCTCATGTTTTGTGTTAAAAGTCGTCTTAAAACAGACGAAAATATTTTTCTACATAAACTGGAAAAGCGATCGGAAGAAAGAATGGTGGTCACAATCGCCTTAGGCCATCCCTTGCGAAATAAGACATCAATCATATTGATCTTGAATTTCGTGCAGAAGAGTCGTTTGCCGTCGTTATGGGATATTTTGTTGACCTGCGATTAAAAGGACTGGTTTAATGGTTGGTCAACTTGTTCTCGTGCACGAACATCGGTTCTTGATTTTTTTTTAATTTTACGTAACCTTGTTTGACTGTGAGGCACCAGTTATGGTATGCGTCAGCCTTGTTTCGCTAATAAAGTTTTTTTTTTTTTTGTTGGGGATTTGCTGAGCTCGCATCAGGCCAAATAGTTTCTGCATTAGAAATTAACGAAGCCAGTTTTCTCTCACGTCTTCGCAAAGGCCTGATAATGCCATCAAGATGTCAAATATCACAAACTGTGCACTTAGGTGCCTGCAAGGAACAGCTGCGTCTATTCGATTCCTCTCTAATAGGCTCGCTAGAAGGCGTGTTCTTTCCATTCACTGTGTACCCAATGACAAACACTACTTCGTTTTGTGGTAGCGAAGGTTTGCATGGATAGAAGCTACTATGGTTAGTGATTTGCATTTTCTCCCGAGTGTGTGATTTCTTCATTTGAAGTGTAGTGGTAAACACTACCTAGGGAGCCATAACTGCGGCGCTGAACGCATAACATAACGCTGTCTACTTGAAATGATTACGGTGAGTTGCATTTGCCCAATTCCTGAATGCTTGCTCGCGTGCATGGCACGCCGTTAGCAATAATCATACCTAAATGGCGGATAAACACAGGCATTGGAACAATCATTGACGGTTGGTGGCCACAGCCGCCAGACTTGACCGACTAATACCCTGACCTTGTGCAGAGTCGGTCCGCCGAATTCACCCAAACTCTCACGGCGTGCGCTTGGCTCCCGCTGGTGGCGTGCCCGACGTCCTCCGTGACCCGTGACGGTCCGTGACGAGTCGCGTGACGCCCCGTGACGTGACGCGTGACGTCACGTCTGCTGCTCACTGCATCACGGCTGCGAGTGGCGTGAGGCAAGCCGTTAGGTGTCTGATCGTGACGCGTCGATTTGGCGATGGGAACGGCAGCGACAGTGGTGTGGGGTCGGCGGCAGGCTGGACTGTATGTTACGGCGTCAACAGATGTATGACGGCCTTGGCCACCACGACGGGTGAGAAATGAACTGACCGAAGATGCAGGCGCCGGTTTGTTGGTGTGATAAGTGATGGTACGTTTTGTTGGATGATGGATGGGCTCCTGTCGGAGGCTCGGATTAAGTAATAAGTATGTAAAGTGTTCACTGAGCTGGAAGGTGTGCTGCAACATAACAATGATGTAAACATGTGGATATAAAGTGATCCCAAAACGAAACTTATCAGTTGCAATATCGGCACCGGATTTCTATGCTAATTTACTGGGTATCTATGTCGATGGTTCTACGACCAACATCAATAACTATAGCGACTGATCTGTCCCGGTATTGGGAAGCGTCCATCTTAACCGCGGATATCCGTCCCCCCCCCCCCTGAGGTTTTTCGCGAATAGCGGGAAATTGGTATGACTATTCTCTCATCAATTTTACACACGGTGTGCAAGTTTGAACCTCCTAACTTTTAAGGTCCGGTGACCAGGTCACTTTGAATGACCCAACCTCAAGTCACTTTTTTGCAACTTTGTCACCGTGTCAGAGCTACAGTAGATGACGGAGACCTTTGAAAGTCGCAGGATGTTATTAGGTCATTGCTAGCTACAATTTGTATATCTCGTAATTTTGATATCGATGACCTAAGGTCAGGTCAATTTCTCGACCTCCCCATTATAAGTCAATGGGGGGGGGGGGGAATCAACTCCCTGTTTTTTCCACTAAAACGCGTCAGGATGGCCCCATATACCATATATGACTTCATATACGATCAACCTTCATTACCTTAAGGCCTGTTTTGCTGTTGGGCAGCTGTAAGGTCATGTGACGTCATCAAAGGTCGCCAAAGGTTTTTGCCAATAACTCCTTACAGAAAAAAGATACAGCCGCGCGGATGGTCTCATTGTGTTCAGCTCGTCAAGGCGCGTCGAATGATATTCATGATGACCTCGAGGTCACGTGACCTGAGGTCAACCTTTGACCTTTACCTTTCAAGGTCAACATATATGGTCAGATGCGGATTGACGAGAGGATCACGATGGTGCCCTTAGTTTGTTCCTAGCTTGACCAATTCGAAAGTTATTCGAGAAAAAACTCCCTCCATATCTAGCGCCGCCATTTTGACTTTTTTTACCCCTGTGACGTCATCTTTGACCTGACCTGAAAATGACCATTGTAAAAATTGTAGACATTGTCCGTGCGTACCCCATGCCGTTTACCGCTTGTCGCTATCTTGCTTCGTTCTCGAGATCTCAGGGGGGCAGTCATCCGCCCCCCCCCCCCCCCGTCGCCGTCGGTGCGCGGGTTAAATAGTTACGCCGATGAGGTCGGCGGTGGGCGGTCAGCCACCAACTACCCACTACCAACCACGATACAAAACATTGCGGCCAGCCTCCTCACATCATTCGTTTTCGACGCTGAGCACTGCCTAGTTGTAGATTTCTGCTGGTAGGCTTTGCAAGTGCTCAAACCCGTAAGCAATTGCATCATCCAATATCCACATTATCCCTTTAAACTGGCCTGGTTGATGGCATTGCTTTAGGGCCAACTCTTGATGTTGATTTGAATGTAAGTTCTGGTTGTTGATAACGAAATACGCATTTTGGATTGACTATGTCTATTAGTTTGGGGGATTTTCAGTTATTTTTTTTAATTAATGAGGCATCCTCTTACATCTGAATTTCGTAGTTTTCTTTAAACGACGACTTTTGGTTGGTCATGCATGTAACTGCATAACCCATACGCCCTTTTCTGCCACTCTCGGCATTAATTGCTCCGAAACCTTTCCGCATCGTAAGCATGTAACTATCTTTTGGAACACTTTTTAACCTGCCTACTGCGTAGCATCGATCGAAGTGCAATGGAGCTTTGCTATAACATAACGGATGGGTACTTACTTGGTGCTGCCAGCACTCTCGTATTCTGCCATCGCGTAGGCAGGGCTCTCGTGAGTCGTGAGGGCTGCATTCGTCTCTCCATGTGTCCTATGTCTATAGTGTTACAATCGCAATGCATCGCAACACCGGGTCGCTCTTGAGTCTAAGCCTATCTGATCGAACGCTATCACAGATCTATGGTGCGAAGTACACTTCGCTGGTGGCTCAATGGAAATTGGTACGGATTTTCCCATGCGATGTGTGCTAAGACATGGGCCGCCTTTTGTATAATTCATGAGTTATTCTGTTGTTCATGCTGCGTTGCCAAACCATTCCA